AAAAAAAAAAAAAAAAAAAAAAAAAAAAAAGTCAAATGGAAAAAAAGAAAGCATATTTAACAAATGGTGCTGACATAACTGGCTACCAACTGTAGAAAAATGAAAATAGATCCGTATGTATCACCATGCACAAAACTCAAGTCCAAGGTAAAGCCATTCACACTGAACCTCATAGAAGAGAAAGTGGGAAGTACACTTGAACACATTGGCACAGGAGATCATTTCCTAAATATAACCCCAGCAGCACAGACACTGAGAAAAACAATTAATAAATGGGACCTCCTGAAACTGAAAAGCTTCTGGAAAGCAAAGGACATGGTCAAAAAGACAAAACATCAGCCTACAAAATGGGAAAAAATCTTCACCAAACCCACATCAGAGGTCTGATCTCCAAAACATATACAAAGAACTCAAGAAATTGGTCATCAAAAGAACAAATAATCCAATAAAAACAAAAAAAAATGGAGTACAGACCTAAACAGAGAACTCAAAGAGGAATCTAAAATGGCTGAAAGACATTTAAGGAAATGCTCAACATCTGTAGTCAACAGAGAAAACACTGATGACAACTTATGCTGGGGTAAAGGGAACACTTCTGCATTGCTGGTGGGAATGCAAGTTGGTACAACCCCTCTGGATGTCAGTGTGGCGATTTCTCAGAAAATTAGGAAAACAACCTTCCTCAAGACCCAATAATACCACTTTTGGGTATATATCCAAAGGATGCTCAATTGTGCCACAAGGACATGTGCTCAACTATGTTCATAGCAGCATTGTTTGTCATAGCTAGAACTTGGAAACAACCTAAATGCCCCTCGATTGAAGAATGGATAAGGAAAATGTGATACATTTACACAATGGAGTACTACACAGCAGAAAAAAATTATGATATCTTGAATTTTGCAGGCAAATGGATGGAGCTAGAAAACATTTTGAGTGAAGTAAAACAGATACAGAAAGACAATTATCACATGTACTCACTCATAAGTGATTTTTAATCATAAAGCAAAGAAAACCAGCCTACAAATCACAATCCCAGAGAACTTAGAAAACAATATGGACACTAAGAGAGACTTAAATAGATCTAATCTACATGGGAAGTAGAAAAAGACAAGATCTCCTGAGTAAATTGGGAGCATTGGGACCTTGGGAGATGGTAGAAGGGGAGGGGAAGAGTTAGGGAGGGGAACAGAGAAAAATGTAGAGCTCAATAAAAATAGATAAATATAAAATAATAATTATTAAAACATTTAACATGTGTTTCTTAATATTGTTTATGCTGGTTATAATTCTAATTTTATACTTTATATCTGTTCTTATTGTATATAATTTTGTATTGGGCTTGAACTCTCTTATTTAGAGAACAGGGGGAGGTGATGGGGACCCTCCTTCAGCCTTTGAGAAACTGGACCAGGTTGAGTTGACTTTGGGTACAAAAAGGTGTGCACTGGCTGCTCTCTCTCTCACCTGGATGCTTGGTTGGGTTTTTGTTCCTGATTTGTACAGAGGCCTGTAATCTGTACGTTTCCCTTAAATAAAAACCTGTTTATTATACTCAATTCTGAGCTAGTGTGGAATTACTTTATTCACATTCATCTTTAACTAGTACACCTCAATAATGAACATATATAGATTAAAAAAATAGTTTATACAACATGAATGTTTACAGTGGGCCTATTTGTACTTGTCTTAATCTAGAAGCAACCCCAATGGGTTAACGAACAAAGCATGTGGTACATATATATCATGGGTTTCTATTCAGCAAAAATAATGAACAGTTGACTTTTGATCCATTCATTCCTTCAGATGTCGGCCTATTGTCCCTTTACTATCAAAGGGCTTTCTAAGGAACTATCTACAGACTTTTGCTAGCACATTATAAAACTATCTTACTCTTTTTTTTTTTTTTTTCTTTCCCTTTTTCGAGACAGGGTTTCTCTGTGGCTTTGGAGCCTGTCCTGGCACTAGCTCTGTAGACCAGGCTGACCTCGAACTCACAGAGATCCGCCTGCCTCTGCCTCCCGTACTATCTTACTCTTTAGTGATCTTGTAGAAAATATTGACAAAGTAACTTTAACTAATTCCTAACTCACAACTTAGTTTCTGGTTTACTTCACCTTTCCAACTGTTTTTAAGTTGCCAACTACTTGAGGCTAGGCAAGTGAAGCTACAGTAATAATGCAATACACACCATCTTCAATCCACAAGCTCTCAGTTCACTGGCACCAAATGTAGGCCACTGGAGCCATCATTTCTAGTTCACCATCAAGTGGAATAACTATCAAATCAGTGTCAACACTTAGAACATTGGCATCTTCTCCTCTTAGTGTAGCACAGGTCAGAGGTTGGCAAACTAAACCCCATGAAACAACTCTGGCTTGTTAATTTTATTATCAATAAAATTTTATACTATCAAATGTCAAAGATGAGTATTTGTGACAGAGAATGAAAACCTTCCCAGGAAAATCTGACTCCTGACTTACAGCAAGTTCTTTGAGGCTAGTAACATTACTAATTCCTAACAAAATGATAACTGATTTTATTCTGAGGTATATTAAGATCCTACTTGGCTGAAACAGCATATGATGAAATTATCTAAGGACAAATGCCATCTTTTTATTAGGCAGGTATCTCAAACAACATTTTTTTTGGAGACAAGATTCATGATGACTTCAAGCTCACAATGTAGCCAAGGCTGACTTGACCTCCATGTCCCACATAGCAGAACAATAGGTGGTGGCACTGTGACTAGTCTATGCAGTGCAGGGCTTTGTGGCTGCTTAGTATGCCATCAGATGAGACAATCCCAGACCCTCACACATCGTGTTAAATGTGGAAAACAGACTCTACTAACTTAGGCCATAGTGGTAAGTCAAATAAGAGATACACCATGAAGCAAAAGGCACTGTTAAAAGAATACTCACGCTGTATGTGAATGAGCTGCTTTGGCATCTTGAACTCCCCGGGGTAAATGGACTCATAGTAAGCGATGTTACTTTCTGCCTCAGGAACTGGAATAACCATATTATCCCGCTTCTCGCCGTACACCTGCTGTGCAGAGATAGCCCGCTGAAGATGGTGTTCCTAAAAGCAGGGAAAACACAGTGTAAGCTCTAAAATGTAGCCATCATAAAGATGAAGTTTGGGGAGCCCTAACAGCACAGCTAGTACAAGGTTCTTTTTGCCACAGGGGCTCATTATGTAGACCAGGCTGGCCTCAAACTCACAAAGCTCCATCTGACTCTGGCTCCGAGTGCAGGCCAAAGGCACGCATAGCATTTTAAGATGATTTTAAGTAGAGGCACTACTTTCTCAAAAGGTAGTATTTGCCAGATATGAGAATCTGACTAACAGCATAAAAGCTTACACCTGAAGACAAGAGTTATTTCTTTAAATATAACTTTACTTGTTCACGTTTAGGATTAATACAAGATAGGTATCAACTAGGAAGAAAATCAGCATTAAAATGTCAATGCCATTGTTTACATGAGGAATCAGAAAATGGATCAAATTCAAACGAGCAGAGACATTCTCAGGCCACTCCACAGTAGCCAGGTTAGGCAGGGTTAGCATTCAAATGTCTAATTAAGTATTTTCAAGAGGAAAGAGAACCCATGAAGGGTGATTTGTTTTTCACGGCAACTTTAGAATTTTCCTTTATGCAATGAATAAAACTCTCCAATGGAACTAACCAACTATGCTTTACCAATAAGCCATTCTGGTCTAGTAGACACAGTTTAACACAGAACTGACATTTGGGGTTTGGGAATGGCAGTGATAACTATATTTTGGCCCTTATTCTACTTAAGGCAACAGCTGAGGCATATGAAGTGAAGGCAGTTACACTTTAGACCTACATGAATGAGACCGTGTTGCCTGAGGCACTTTGCACAAGCACATAAGTAACCAGTATAGGCGGTCACCCTGGGTGTACCATGCTGGTGCATTAAACCACAGCACACTGTGGAGCTAATGAGCACAACCAGTGTGCTTCATCCAGGAGAAAGGTCCTCACACATAGCTAGGTTCCCCCCTCCAGTTGTCCTGATCATGTGCCACAAGCACTGGGTTTCCAAGAGAGAAGTGATTCTAGGAAAGTCAGTCAATCTTTTGAAAAATGTCTAATTTGCAAAACCAGGATAAGGTGACATCTACATTGAAAGCTGAAGACAACAGAGCACAGAAGTCCCACTCCTGAAGAAGGAGAGGCCCCTAGGCATCATCATGTGTAACCTAAGTGGCTGAAGGAGCCTGGAGGGTTCGGTGATGTGGGAGTGTCATATATCAATCTGTTGATTTCATTGGTTAATTAAATAAAGAAACTGCTTGCCCTGTTAGGTTAAGACATAGGTGGGAGGAGTAAACAGGAGGAAGAGGAAGTGAGGTAAGACTCCTCAGACAGACCCGACAGCTCTGCTCTCTGGAGCAGAGGCCCTGCTTTGCTCTCCCAGGCACACACGATGAAACTCTGACCAGGATGGACGTAGGCTAGAATCTTCCCGGTAAGCGCACCTTGGGGTGCTTACACAGATGATTAGAAATGGGCTAGTCCAGGTGCGAGAATTAGCCTAGAAGAGGCTAGATAGAAATGGGCCAAGCAGTCTTTAAATGAATACAGTTTGTGTGTTGTTATTTCGGGCATAAGCTAGCAGGCGGCTGGGGTGCTGGGGACGCAGCCCCGCCGCTCCGTATTTCAACAGTTCGGCTACACTGCATTGGGAATGGAATCTGAACCTCAGGTGGGAAGTGACCCATCAGGCTTTTCATAATGACCAGTGCTATCCATTTAGTTTCATGTTCAAAGGTAAACAGAGCAGGACTGCAATGCTAACTATAGTACCAGGTGTTGATTAGCCGGCCACGTGAGGGTCCTTCAGGCAAACAGGGCTCTGTCCAATGATTTCACAGCTGTTATGCTCAGAGAAGGCCATCTCTGGCAGCAGAACCAGGGTGCAGCTATATCAGAGCTCCAGGTTCAAGATTTCACCTCATTTGGAGCACTTGTTCCCCTATCTCACTCTAACCAAGAAGGCCGGAGAAGAAGCCTGGACTAGTTCCACAAATACTGTTATCTACTGATTTAAGCCTGAGTCTAATTCTTCCATCTTGATTCTTACACAAAATGACTTCATGAAGCCTGGTGGTGTTGGTGTACCCAGGAGACAGAAGCAGACAGATCTTTAAGTTCAAGGCTAGCCTGGTCTATAGAGTGAGTTCTATCTAGGACAGTTGGGACTACACAGAGAAACCCTGTCTCTAAATAACAACAGAATCCAACCAAACCAAAAGACTTCAGAATCCATTGCCTATTTACTGCTGTATGAACATCATGACCCGACAGACACGGCCACACAGTTTACACTGGAAAGTCTTGCTACTAATCCCTGAGCTGGGGCTCCAGAGACCATAAGCACACTTGCACTCATACCTCCATTTAAACTCAGTTCCACATATTGAGAGAGAACTCCAGACACAGTTTGGGACAGAGATTTCCATTCTGAGTAATCAGAGCAGAAGCTTCTGTCAAAACTGTTTGGCTGGCAGGAAAGACGGTGTGAGCCTGAATTACTCTGTCTATATTCAAATCTTCAAGAGATGGACAAAGAGGCATCACTGTAGGCATCTTCTGGACTACAGAACTGCGTACCTCTGCCAATTGCTGCTGGTACTACTTTCAGAGACCCAGGATGGAAAGCAGAGCTCAACTTACTATATATGAAGACAGCAGACTATGTATAAGAAATATTTTATGATTCAAATATCCTGTTCATACAGTTTTATAAATTTAAAAGGTTCTTTCACAGGGATCAACTAGAAGAACCCTTTCACAGAAAGGAACTGTTATCTTCATAATGAACATATACTCAAAAGGTCAATCTCTGTCTCAAGTAAATTTTCTTCTGAATTTCCAAAGTCCCCTCTGGACATACAGTAAGACTAAGGCTGGAAACATGTACTCTGGACTCAGGCTGCTTGGATTAGAGCCAACTCCAACATCTAACAGTTTGTGATTCCAGTCCGTCAGTGAGGGGAGAAGGAAGAGCACCCAAGAGTGTCTTTATAAAATTGGCTAGCATTTAATAAGACAAATGTGAGGCTGAAGGGTTTGATATAACGTCTGAGCAAAATAAGTTTTGATTTAGTTATTACTCAGAAAGCTCTTATTAGTTAAGAGAACACCAGCTGCTATAAAAGTCTTGTCCTCATCCAGCCCTATAAATGCCTAATTTAGCATAAACTTACACACACACACACACAAAGCATTCCAGCTGTATGAAAAAGTCATTAAGAATGTATATATTCTCCAAAATACTTTTTCTGTACACATAAATGTAATCTGCAATATATTATAAAGTGATTGGTATACAGAGAGCTTTACTGTCTTACTACACGCTTGTTTCACTTGATATCTTGAAGAGCTTTCCATACCAAGACTTTATTCTCTGTAGTAGATAGTCTAGGTTTCACCGCACAAGTCAAGTGCATGATAATTTCATAATACAAAGAGACAGTGGAGAAAAAATAACCTGGGAACAACCTAAATGTGTACATTTTCTCTTTACATGCTACAAAAGCAAACTATCTTTGTATATGTAAAAAGTATTTTTTGGACATGGGAAACAATCTACAGACAGCCATAATGTGTTTAAACAGACACCCAATATCTATTTCAACAGTCTCTGGATTAATATTACTCAGCAACCCTGCACATTTTAATTTTTTTAGGCAGGGTCTCCTTATGGAGCCCAAGTTGACCTGGAGCTCACTATGCAACCCTGGATGACCTTAAACTCAATGACACTGTTCCTGCCCCAGCCTTTTAAGTACTGGGTTCCAAGCGGAGGCCATCACCTGGCTTAGTATCTCGTTAAAAACAAACAAAAAACCTGCCAACCTTTATCTTCTCATTTTCATNATATGTTGGTGTTAACAGGTGTGCATTTTCCTTACAAGTTATTGCTAAGTTCCCTTAGTTGTTGCTTTCTGTGCTGAACTCTGGAAGGGCTGCCTCCATTTAACGTTACAGAAGTGAGTCTCATGAAATAACAGTACAAACTTCTGCTATAGTTTTATCTTCTGGATTTTTTATGTGTAGAAAGTTTTGTAAGTCAAATTTACAGGCCGCTTTATAGTTTGCCACACTTAATCTCAGAAAAGTTGCATAGTTAAAAACTATAATGTGTAAACAAATGTTTGTGTTGGAAACTTTCAGCTTACTACTGGCTCCTAGGAGACAGCAGAAACTAAGAGACATGTGTTTTGGTGCGTCCTAGCTGGGACACTTCTGCTCTTAGACGCCCTCCAGTCAGGAGGAGAGAGGCACTCTATCCTCAGTTTGTACAGTTGTTTCCAGCCATCCTTCAGGGCTTAGATGAACATGGAAGACAAAGTTTATATTTTGGGTCCTCCTGCAAATCTAACCTGCACTCTGAGAACACATTTGAAAAACTGGGACTGTTGTAGTGCATCTGTTAATTCCAGTGTTCCTACAGCGAGATTGGGAGTGGATACAGGAGTCCCCAAAAGCCTGAGGGCCAGCTAGCTAGTACACACAGCAGTAAAGGATGAGAGAGCCTGTTTCAAATAAGGTCCAAGATTTCCACATCAATAGATTGATGTCTGATTATAAGAGCTGGCTGAAGGTACCTACTGCCAAAGAGTGTATGGCTCTAAACAGGGCAAACCCTTAATTTCTGTAAAGTCAGAAAATACCTTAAAAAAAAAAAAAAGTCCCAGAGTTCTATTAGCTCCCAGGAGATGAACCTGTCTGAAAGGTGGGCTTGTCAATGTGTCATGAACATCTGCCCTTACTCACATGGTACTTTCTCTGTTCCAGATATTCAACATGCTCACTCCACCATGGGAAGCCCCCACTTGTTCTTCACAGTTGAGCTTAAAACAATCTTCTCCACTTCATGTACATGTACACAAAACTGTCCCCTCATGGGTGTGTAAAAGAAGAATGTTTTATACTTAGGCTAGCAGGCTGTCATCATGTTTACCCAAAATGTGAGCTCCTTCAGAAGAGGGGGTCTAATTTACCTTTTTATCTTTTTCTTCAAAAGGTGTATTTTCTCATGGTG